TGTGTCGACAGGTGGACCTCCTGCACAAGCCCCTCGAGGACAGCTCCATCCGAAAGAAATGCGAGGACGCGCTGAGCCTGATCCACAGCACGTGGCAGCGCAGCGACAGCCTGTGCCGCGGACGCGCTTCCCGGGACCCCTGGTGCTAGCCTCCCAGGAGACGAAGAACGGCCCGATCCCACCAGGCGGAAGCACGGCGGGCAGCGCACGAACCGGGAGGGGAGGGGGAAACCTGAGGCAGAGGAGGGGGGGCGCGCATGGGCCTCGCTCGTTTGGACACTCCGCGATCCTCCCCCGGAACCCGGGGTCTCTTTGCTACCGCTGGCTATTGGCTCCGCCTCGCGCGCACCGTTTGGGCCGGTGGTTTATACGACAAGTTTTTTGCGCCACGGGGTGGGTTGTGTCTCAGTCGGGACTCCGGGTACAAGTGGGAGTGGGAAGCAGGAGCTCTGGGCCGCCACTCCCAGGCGGGAAGGGTCCCGTGGACGGCGGAGTAGCCGTGAAGAAGGATGGTGAGGTTAGGGCGCCGGTGGGGAGGGGGGCTTCTGCAGAAGGCTGGTCGCTGTCTGTCTTTTAGATGCTAGAGCCCACCCTGCGACCCCTCTCTTCCCCCCCAACCCCCCCGCATGTGTTCCTTTGGTTCAAGGCCGGCCGCCAGCCTTGCTCCCCTTCCTGGTCCCTGTTCACCCTTCTCAGCTTGTGTGCTACCTGTCATGGCCCCCTCCATGCCCCCCCACACTCACCCTGAGCTAGGAAGGAGCCGCCAGGGCTCCCCCTGCCCCTCCTCTCGCCCTGCCCCCTGGCAGCAGAGCCCCTGGTTGGGGGGGGGGGGTGGGGCGGCGGGCCGGGGGGGGGGGGGGCTGCCACGGTTGGGGGTGGGGGGCCTTCTGCTCGGGGGCTGGGGGGGGGGCGGCAACAGCGCACAGGGCTTTCTGCGCACAGACAGACCCCCCCCCCCCCAAACCTCCCCCCCTTTGGGTCTGGGTTCTAGTTGCAGTTTTCAAACAGCCGGGCTAAGGAGTAGTTGTAGTTGCCTGGGGTTTTGTTTTGGTTTTTTGTTTTTTTTAAAGCTTTTCTTTATTTTTAAACTCTAATTTTAACGAACGAGAGACCTGCTAATGTACTGTATGTGTTCCCACAGGGGCCTTTTTCCAGGGGGAGGCCTCTGTGGCCGAGTGGGCCTGGATCCACGTGGCCAGCCCTTCCAATAAAGGCAACTTGGCGATACACAGCACTTGGGCGCCTGCCTGCCTGCCTGCTCAGCGCCTGCACTCCCTTTGTGCCACCCCGAGGCTTCCTCCGGCGCCCGAGACTCCCCGCCAGCTCGGCCTGCTTGGGCCGGGCCTCGCTTGTCCCCGAGCTCTCGAGATGAGTAGGAGCTTCTCCAGGAAGTCCCTGGCTTCCAAAGGCCCGACGTTTTTCAGCCTCTTGCTCTCAGGGCTCCCAGTTCCTCAGATCCGCTTCCTCCAGCCATGCCATGCAGAGATGCCTGGCCCAGGTCCAGTGTGATCCAAGATCTTCCATCCTTCCATCATGACGAGGTCGGTAAAAGGAGGACCCCGATTGTTGAGGGCAAGACGTTGACTCTGTAAACCGCTTAGAGAGAGCCATAAAGCACTGCAAAGCGGTATATAAGTCTTGAGTGCTATTGCGATCTTCCTTCCTTCCTTCCTACCTACCTACCTACCTACCTACCTACCTACCTACCTACCTACCTTTGCAATGGTTAGAATACAGTATTGCAGGCTGACTCTGCCCACTGCCAATACGCTGACTCGGTCAAGCAATTAGAGAGGGTTGTGAAGCACTGTGAAGCGGTATATAAGTCTAAGTGCTATTCCTTCCTTCCTTCCTTCCTTCCCAATGGTTAAAATACAGTATTGCAGGCTAACTCTGACCGCTGCCATCAGTTCGATCCTGACCGGCTCAAGGTTGACTCAGCCTTCCCTCTTTTCGAGTTGGGTAAACTGAGGACCCCGATTGTTGAGGGCAAGAGGCTGACTCTGTCAACCGCTCAGAGGGGGCCGTAAAGGCACTGTGAAGCGGTACATAAGTCTAAGCGCTATTGCTCTCTTCGGGTTAATGAGGCTGGCGGATCCTCTTGCGCCGTGCCAGCCGCAGAGGAAACTATTTCCACAAGGTCCCTCTTGAGTTGATCTTCCGTGGGGCGAGGCCCAGTGGCCCACAAACGCAAGGCGGTGGGGGGAGGGGAAGGGGGCCACAGACCCAGAACTCCGGCTGTACTTTTTGCACCCTGGAACTGCGGCTTGGTGAGAGTTGGCCGCCCCGTGTGCTCAGATCCGCCTGCCAAGCAGGGGAGGCCCTGCCTGTCCAAGCCAAGCCCTTGTTTCTCCCCCCACCGCCCCCCCCAGGATTATCTTGGTCTCCCCCTTCCTGCCCCCGCGGGGGTCAGTGCTTGGCAGCAGAGACCCCTCCTCCTGCCCGAGGACGGTGTGTTTTTGAGAGTCCTGCCCGACAGGATGTCAGGAGAGCCATCCTGTCACTCATCAGGGAAGGGAAGTGGGGGGGGGGGCGGAGGTGGGGCTGCTTCCAGGAACAGCCTCTTCCTTGGGCCAGGAGGGGGTGGGGCCAGCAGGTTTGGGAGCCAGAGCCGGAGGGAGGAGGAGGGGGAGGAGGAGGAGGAGGGCGCTGCGTGGAAGGGTGGCCCTTGCCCCAGTGGGTGGACCCAGCCGCCGGGCGACCTTTCTCCTACATGCAGCCACCTGTCTCCCTCCCCTGCCTGGCCCACTGATGGAGCAGCAAATAAAGGCCCCTCTCTGATCTGGTTTCGCCCAGAGGGAGGCGCAGCTCGGGCTGGAGCAGAGAGCCAGGGCTGCCAAGGCTGGGCAGGGCTCAACGCAGCTTGGGCTGGCTGTTGCGGGCATCGATGCCAGCCGCCCGGGCCCTGCGGGGAGAAAGAGGCCCGCTCTCCTCCGGTCGGGGCTGCCTCCTCAAGGCTCCTGCTTGGGTGGGGAGGCCCCGGGTCCCGTCTTTCCGCCTGGGACGGTGGCAGCCGCCCCATGGAGCCCTCCCCCCGCCGACGCACGGCAGCGCCTTCCCTCTCCCCCCCGGTGGATTTTGTCCTGGGTGCCGCGGCCTGCTGCATGGCCTGCGTGTTCACCAACCCGCTGGAGGTGGTGAAGACGCGGCTGCAGCTACAGGGGGAGCTCCGTGCCCGAGGCTCGTACCCTCGCCACTACCGAGGGGTGCTGCAGGCCATGGTGGCCGTCCGACGGGCCGACGGACTCTGGGGCCTGCAGAAAGGGCTGGCGGCCGGGCTGCTGTACCAGGGGCTGATGAACGGCACGCGGTTCGGCTTCTACTCCCACGCTGAGGACCTCGGCCTGACCCAGCAGCCGGGAGGGACCATGGCGGCCGGAGCTGTGGCTGGGGCCCTGGGGGCCTTCGTCGCCAGCCCAGCCTACTTGGTAAGCCTCTTCTTGGTGGTGGTGGTGGTGCCTATTACTGGGCAGAGCCTTGGCTTTTTTAGGGCGTTGTTTTGCAGGTCAGGCCTGGAGGTTAGGGAGGGGGCAGCATCTCCTGTGTGCTTCCTGAGCGTGGGATATGCCAGCCGTGGCTGCACCCCCGGTCATCTCCAAAGAGGACAGCCAGGGCTGCCCCTGCTACGAGCTCTGGTGAGGCTGGGGGTGCCTCTTTGGGGGTGGCCTTAAGGCAGTTCCCCTCTCCCCAGGGTGCTTCTGTGGGCACAGGGGTGTATTAAGCCTTAAGCAGGCGAAGCACGTGCTTAAGGCACCAGGCCCAAAAGTTGAGAAAGGAAGAAAAACACCAATGAAGATTTGTAAATATATATATATCTATATCTATCTTTGCATGTCCAAAGGAGGGGTCAGGCACCCAGATTTGTCAGTGCTTAGGGCACCAGTGAGCCTTAATCCACCACTGCATTGGGCACCGGCGTCCTCTCCCACCCGTGTTGCCTGCGCAGCCTAGCTGGAGTGGTGCATCCTTTGGCCGCTCGACAGGGAGGGGAAAAGCTTTTGAGAAAGCATGCAGGCCTGTTGCCTGGGCATTTGCAGCCCGAGGGAGATGCCCAAGGAATTTTTAATCCCCAAATGCCCCCTGCATGGTGCCCATCCCTTCTTTTTTTTGCAAAAAGCCGGCTTTTGCCCTAAGTGGGAGCTCTCTGTGAGAGTGGGGTCCTGTTGATTAGGCAGCAGCGCCTCCTGGAAGACGGCTGAGAAAGGAGGTGCCTTCGGAGCCCAGGTGGGACGGCTTCTTTGAGCTCGGTAATGCCAATACATCCCCTAAGTGTCCTCAGAAGGGTTAGTCCAGGCCGAGGGGGGAAGAGGCCCCTGGACCCCTGAAAGGACCGGGTGCAAGTCAGCAAGAGAGAGTTGGTTCACACACACACACATACACACCCTCTGCGGTCCTGGCCTCACCCCGTTTCCTTTCCTCTTGCAGGTCAAGACGCACCTCCAAGCCCAAACGGCCTCGGCCATGGCAGTGGGACACCAGCACAACCACAAGGTCCGAGGGGGTCTCGCCTTCCTTGGTCCAGGACTCTGCCCAGAGCTGCCTTTGGCCCACCTTGGCAGAAAGCCTCGGCACGTTTCAGGGGTCACGGCGCTCCTGCCGGGCCTGAGCAGCTCCAGGCCTTGGCGGGAGCCTCCTTCCCGGCAGGGTGAGGCCGAGGGAGGCCTTGGGACCTCAGGCACCGCCAAGGAAGAGGGAGAGGGAGGCCGGCCGGTCCCCAGGGCAAACCACGGCGGCGGCATCGGCTGTCCGTTCCCAACCTGAGAGGGAAGCTCAACGCGCTGGCTTGGCAAAAATCTCCCACTCTCCAGCTGCAGTGGCCCAGGATGGCTAGCCGGCCTGCCTGAAAGGCGCTCAGCCCAGCCGTCCCTGCAGCTGGGCCGATGCCGGGATGGAAGCTTTCTCGTAGCTGAGGCGTCAGCTGCCGGCAAAGCCCCCCCAAACAGCCCACCTCACAGCAGACACACACGT